CGAAAAAATGCGACTTTGAGGAACTGGCTGGATTTGAGAGTGAAATTGATCTGTTACTGAGGCGACCTCCTATGTCGTCCTGTTGTTGAGGGGTTTTCGTCGATGGCTCAGCATTGACGGCATTGATAGCCAAGTAACTCGGCTCCGTTTAGAGTCGCAGGTGCGCTGGAGTGATTAAATCAGCACTGTGCTCAGGTGTTTCCGGTAACTTTCCATCTCTGTTCTGGGGTGTGGGGGCGATCCCGGTTCGCTTGCGGCTGAACAATATCATCCATCTTTGCGGGGCCGGCTCCGGATCGCCTCAGGATAAATGATGCTTGATGTGACAAGGCAATTTTATGATGCATAGTCGGGCTTCCTGGTTTGCGACGTTCGATGCGTTTCGCAGCGAGAACGAATATGACGCTTCCTTTTATTAATACATCGAGACGGCGGCTTACCGACGCAGAGAAGATCGTAGTTGTAACGAGTGCAGAACGAAGCTGTCATGATGCGTTCTGTCCTCTGGCCCGGTCTTCCACTTCGAAGCCGGCGTTGGCTTGGAGCTCGCAGCTGCAGGGTCTGTGTGAAGGAGGGAAGACGTCGCCAAGCCGCTAGGCTTGCCTGACGGGTCGCGAGGGCGTTCTCGCGGCCGGTTTGGCACCCGCACCAAGCTTAACCGCCTCTGGAGCCGTACCTGGCCCATGCTGTGGGAACAGCAAAAGGGTGTACCGTATCACTGAACAGCATACCGCATCACTACACAGCAGCTGCGGAATGAACTCAGCCCTGTTTGTGTGGGTGGAACGCCGGTTTGAACACACGTCTCTGCAAGTGCAAACCATGTGCTCTAGCGCCACGAGTTTGTCACTGGGTATTTTTAAAGCTGGGTGAGCCTTTCAAAACATGACGCTTGTCATCTCAGCTGTGTCGGCCGCTTTCGCTGTAGACGCTCTGGCGCCCGCAACGCTAACCGTACGGGGCTGAACCATATGTTCAACATGGCTTGTTGCTGTCTGAAAAGTGAGACCGCTGCCGGCTTTTTGTTTGGCAATGCTTTCAGTGTATGCTACACATGCATGATATTGAGTTGCGACGCATTCTATCTGATGATGCACCTGTATGGCAGATCGTTCTCTTTTCCTGCCGTTAAGTTGGTTGTAGTTGTCGTCTTTCTCGATGTTAATGTGTTGCCTGTGAATGTGATCTGTAGCTGCCCAGCATCGCCTTGCACCTGTTTATGATGCCCTACCTCATCTGATCTTGCGACCTTTACCTTCTTCACTCGCAGCATCCTGCATACCTTGCACTCCCATCCAGTTTTATTATTATTTTTTGCTCTGTTTCTCATTCTTTACATCATTGTTGCTATCAGGTGTTCGCGTAAGCACGCTCCTCAGTCTCCCTGCGCTGTTGCGCCCCGTGTCTGGGCCCTCTTCGCCTCCGTCCTCCATCTGGCACTGTACGCCGCCGTGTGCGCCGTTTCCTGCAGGCGCTCAGGAACCTCCATGGGTCCGGTGTGGGTGACGACTATGATAGCTCCTACTATGATGACTATGAATACGGAGATGCAGACCTGGAGGTAAGTGTGGGGCCATGCAAAACCTGACGACTGCCACGTGGTAGCGTACAGGCCCCGCGGCGTCGTTGGTTAAGACGACACGTCCGTGTGGTCCCCATCATTTTCAATTTTCTCCGAATGTTTTCCATCAATTCAGTCAACATCCGTCTGCGATTTGTTTGCTAAGTATCGGCATGGTATGAACAGCACATCCGCTTGTCATGTATGGGAATGTGTTTATGCCGCGAGAAGCTCATAATTTTGCAGAAACTTCCGCTGCGCTGTGCTCTGTGTTGCGTCCCCACATTGATTCTTGGCAGAGAGAAGATAATCGAAATTGGATGACGATGAAAAAACAGGGTGGTTTCCAGAGCCAGACGGCAAAAATAAGTCCAAGTGCTAGAACATATTTGAAAACACTGTTAGCTCCTACGGCCCCAAAAAGCAGAACCCCTGAAGTGTACGGAAATGCGCCGGTGCTGAATTTCCGAATTTCTAAATTCTGCACCATTCTGATATCCCCGATTTCTTTCATAGCCAGAGCTTTTATCCGAATTTTACGACTGTTGCACTGGGATATTGAGGTGTTACTGCAAGATAACATAGAAATGTTGTTTAATACTCAGATGTGTGTGTGTGCGTGTATTTTTTACCCGGTGTCGAAGGGGTGCCACGACGACCCTACATGCAAATAGTCACCATAAAATGCAATCAAGAGTTTTGACTGTCATCGGTACTGGGGTTTCATGGTTTCTATTGAAGGCCAAAACAGCATGGTTTTGAGTTGTTGATGGATTCCAGACGGACCCAGCACGGGAATGGCCGCGGTGCTACCAGAATATATTGGTTCGTTACAGACTCATGTTACCAACTCTTGCGTGTCCGGTTCGGAATCTGCCCTAGCCTGCGGAGCCCGCCCCCCCCCCCCCTCGGTCACGTAACCGGTAACCGGTTCAAACTCTGCCCCGTACTGCGGAGCCCGCCTCTCCCTGTCGCGTAGCTGGCTGCAGACAGCCAAGGCGACGTTCTGACGCGTTGCCCGCGCGTGCCAGCACATGTCCTGTCGCTGACGCCGCGTCTCATTCAAGGAGGGCGACGACGACCTGTTCCTGGACGAGGGGAGCGGCGAGCACGAGGATGAAGGCCCGCCACTCATCCCGCCGCCACCGCCCGGACTCGAAAAATACGGTAACGGAACGAGCGGCCCGCCCGGCTCGGCAACTGTCGGATGTTCACTGTTGACAATCGGATGTTCATTGTCGACCGTCGGATGTTCACTGCTTACTGTCAGATGCTCACCGCCCACTGTTGCCTGTGCACCGCCTGCTGATTCGCCTATTCTCAAGGTCACTGGGCTGGGTCACTGGGTCACCGTCCGCGACTCGTCGTCAACCGCGAACGTTGCCGCCGTCCATAGTCGGTCGTCTACTGCGTACTGTATAATCACCTCTGCACGTCATACACTGTCTACCACGTCTTGTCTACTTTCCACGGTTCCCTGGTCAGTTGTTTACTGACCATCGTCTGCTGCTCTCTGTGTACATTCCGCTGGGTTTTGTAGCAAACGATTCCCCAAAGTTGAGCCGCGAGGCCAAATGTTGATGAGAGCTGTCCCATTCACCCTCGGTACCGACACCACCGTACTAATATTTTGCACCCGGCCCCATCCGGTACTTCATCACACGGTCTTTCCCGGTGGTGACCTAGCTCCGTGACTCCCAACGATGTCTGCAGTCGAAAGTTGAGCCTTTCCCGATAGTTGTACTTATTCCGCGACTATCGGACGTAGGAAGCGGTCTGCGTTCTGGCGGACCCCGCCGTCCTGTTACCATGGGCCCCTGCGACCTCCACTGTCGCGGCGCTGCTTGCGTTCCGCTCTCGTGCAGAATGCTATCGGCTCCGAGGCGGAGTCCTGGCGCCGCACATTCCGCGGAGCCCCCGTGAGGCGCAGAGGTCCCCCGGGGAGGCGGCGCGCCCCGGCGGGCGGCGGCAGCGGCGCCGTCACAGGCCCCGCGTCGGTCCGCCCGTCACCCCGCCGTCGTCGTCTCAAAGCATCCGCCCGTACCAGAGCCCGCGCCGGCGGGAGCCGGGTCCGGCAATTAGTGCAGAGACCGACGTCTCCGAACTGACGAGCGGCTGGGTCCGCGATTGGCGTCTGGCAGTCGTGCGTGCAGCACTCCGTCACGGCCTGCCGCCGTCCGTCGCAGTCTGTCACCGTCCGTCACAGGGCGCCGTGGTCTTCAGAGCGGGCCCTCAGTCGTGCTGCGGTTGTGTGTCAGTTGAGACCGTGCGGTGCACTGCCGCAGCGTGCGGGCGGCAGCACTGCGGCAGGGGCGAGAGCGGGCCGGACATGGCCCGCGGCGCACGGCCTCAACAATATTTCATAGACAATTAGGCAGCCCTGCAATTAGGGTTGGCTTGATGGCTCCTTGAGGACCGTTGGTCGAAAGTGATGGGCAGGTGAGGGAACACATAGTCCCCTCCCCACTCCCCACCCCCACCCCCACCCCCATCGCTGCTGGAGAGATTGCGCACGACCAACCGGTGACCACAGTACCCGCTCAATCACAGCTTGAAACGACTCGCCCTCTCATACCAAACGCAGTAGCGGTTTCCTGGTCGCCTGAGAAGCAGAGGAATGAGGCACTTTCACTGCACATCAGGAGCACCCGCGCATATGCAGATTCTAGCTGGACCCTGAGTTGCCTCCACGGCAGCGCAACGCTCCGAACTGCAAGTCGGCGGTCAAACCACTTTCTAGTCTCGACCCGGGCGGGCGCTTCCGTCGCTGATATCCGGGGCTAGCCCAGGCGCTGCGAGGATGGGGCTCCAGGGGTGGCGCTGCGAGGTTAGCGCTTCTGGGATGGCGCTCCCAGGATGGCGCCCCTGGGATGGCGCTCCTGGGATGGCGCTCCGAGGATGGCGCTCCGAGACTGGCGCTTCTGAGATGGCGCTCCCGGGATGGCGCTCCGGGGATGGCGCTCCGAAGATGACGCTCCTAGGATGGCGCTCCTGGGATGGCACTCCTGGGATGGCGCTCCGAAGATGACGCTCCTAGGATGGCGCTCCTGGGATGGCGCTCCGGGGATGGCGCTCCGGGGATGGCGCTCCGAAGATGACGCTCCTAGGATGGCGCTCCTGGGATGGCGCTCCGGGGATGGCGCTCCGGGGATGGTGCTCCGAAGATGACGCTCCTAGGATGGCGCTCCTGGGATGGCACTCCTGGGATGGCGCTCCGAAGATGACGCTCCTAGGATGGCGCTTCTGGGATGGCGCTCCCAGGATGGCGCCCCTGGGATGGCGCTCCGAGGATGGCGCTCCGAGACTGGCGCTTCTGAGATGGCGCTCCTGGGATGGCGCTCCGGGGATGGTGCTCCGAAGATGACGCTCCTAGGATGGCGCTCCTGGGATGGCGCTCCTGGGATGGCGCTCCGAAGATGACGCTCCTAGGATGGCGCTCCTGGGATGGCGCTCCTGGGATGGCGCTCCGAGGATGGCGCTCCGAAGATGACGCTCCTAGGATGGCGCTCCGGCTACCGGCGCTCTCGGGTCTGGCGCTGCTGCTCCACACGCGGATGCTGCTGTCGCTCGGGGCCCACATACGGGCGGGGCTCACCAGACGCTGGTCATTCTGCCGAATGAGGCGACGCGCACCCCTGGCGCACCGATAGAGCGGCAGAGCGGCGAGGCGGATCAACTTCTACTCGGTGCTGACTATCGCGATGCGTGTTTCCATAGATGGCGATGCGGTCTGGAATGACGGCAGTATTTGTAAGGCACAGCGAGACCCGATTGTTTCGCATGTGATTTCGGAGCCGTCTGGGGTATTGAGCGTGCCGACATACCTGTGGTTTGTCTTGACAGTCATCCCTAAACTGTGCTTAAGCCCAGGCGGACAATGGCATCCCACCGTGTGCACAGTAATGACCTAAGCACAATGACTCACATTCCTGTCTGATCCGTGCCGGGACCATAACCGCTAGTCAACAGCTCGTTACTGATCACGAGCTGACCTTCTCAGTTAGGCCCATCCTGCATGCCGTCCCTGAAGCTTCAGCAGTTAGCCTGCGGACCCCTCGGTTAGCGCAGCTTAGGCCGCACTCTCGCAGGCCCATGCCTCCATCGGGTGGTGAGATATCACCCGC